AGCAGAGAAATGTTCTTGTTCTTCCATGATGTAATGCCAATACCTAAACTAATGCCTGATACATGGTAGGCAATCAAGAAGTATACCTGAATTGAATTACTAATATACTTCCTGTTGTACAAATTCAATATTTAAAATATATTTTTCGAAAATTGTAGACGTAAAATTGAACAGTAAACTCAAGTGCAGTCTAGATGAAGGCAGTTAGCCACCTATCATACAAAATATGATAGTCCAAGCCAGTTTTTAAGTACCATATTTTGGGTCTCTTTCCTCAGATAACAGTGTGCATTTCTTACAGACAGTAAGAGAGTATATCTATTGTTCACCACGACAGCCACATACCTACCAACTCAAAACTTGATGACTTCCAATACAATAGACATTTTGCAGGCAATTTCTCTAGGATTTTCAAATTTGCTTTCATTTTATTTTGATGAAATACCAAGCTTGAACAAATAAGGCCTTTCAAATTATTACATTAACTTGTTCATTTAACTTAAAAGTGAAAATCCTATGTAATTAGCAGATAACCCTCTCAGCCTGAGCTAGACTAAGGTTACTGAATCAAGACTATTGACAAGCAGTGAACCAACACAAAGCAATTTATAAAAGTCCAAATCCCAAATCAACTTTGTATACGCATTTCATAGTTAAACTGAGCGCACTGTATTAAACAAGACTCAAAGGGAACCATACCGCCTGCGATCAGAAACAATCACATTTTAGAAAAATGCCCACTTTCATAACCACAAGTCCAACAGGAAGGAATGAAATCTGCACACTTACCTGGCTGATGGGCTCTTTCGTGGGGGGCTTTCCTCTTCTGGCTGTGCTAGTGGCCAGGGTTGTGGTGGTCTCCATAATGGACGTGGACATCTCTGACTGCATGGCAGTGGCTGTCGACTCAGTTGTCATAGAGGAAGGCACTTCACCAACCAGTCTCACATTTCCCACTATGGCGATGTTGGCATCATTTTCAGCTGCCATATTCAGAACTTTCAAGCCATTGTAGTAAAGCCCAGAGAGCTGGCCCTGGAAGGGCTGGCCCTGCTCTTTCCCGCCAATTATTATGGTTGCTTGGCTATTGAAGATTGTGAGCTGACGCCCTGTAAAAATAATATTACATACATGCAAAAATGTTGATTGTGAACTCTACTTTCTACAAAGGATGATAAAAACAGATCTTTCATGGGGTGGATAATGAGAGCAATAAACTATAAGAGAGGCATTTGACTCATAATTCATTGCTGATAAATGAGGTGTCCATGAAATGCATAATCATTGGCAAATACTTGTAAAATTCTCAACTTATTGTAAATGTAGTGCTTTTGCTAAAAGACCAATCAAAGATAACGTATTGTAAATCAATTATTAGTGGTTCCCTTTCCCTTTTACCTCAAGATCTTATACTGTTGGTCTCTTAAGTCTAAAGTACTTAATTTAAAAATGTGATGTATCTAGCATTTCAAGTATTTGTCCTTCTAAAATTACCGCTGGTAGAAACTAATCTATAGCAGCTGATATCTAATTTTAAATTTCTGGTAAAAATTTCATAATTCACTTCATTGGCCACAGGTCTCTATATGCTATTCTTTAGAAATGTTTATTTTTTTAAGGCAATAGTCCATTGTTATTGAATTATTCTATTTTTTTCAGCAATCGACACGGAAAAGAAATGCATGGTTGACACTGAGCATGTCAGAGACAAAAAAAAATTCCAAAAATATTTTTCTGATTGGCTTTCAGCAAGTCTATTAAAACAAAATCGAATGAAAAAATAGCTTCAGATGTAAAAAGCGGCTTCAGGAATGATACACAAACCGATGGAGAAATTATGGCTCATGTCCATCAAACAGCAATCCTCAGCAACAGTACCAATATCATCAAATTGAGTATCCAGTTTTAGCAGAGTGTTCTCTGCTCATAAAAAGCATGCACACAACTTCAAGTTCAGTTTTAATTAGGGCTCGTTCCCAAAAGCTCTTAGAAGGTTGCAAACGTTAAAGGGACTTCATTTTTGACCGGCAATCTATATTGCCCGCTATTTAAGATGCCTAGAGTTTAAACCAAGAGTTTTTGTTTGTTTTTGTCAGGACCATAATAAAGATATCAGAACTACATATGTTTTAGTTAATAATTTAGAGGCTGGAACATGTAATATAATCTATGAATGATTTATCATTTTGGGTTAATGCTTGATGTGAGTACCTTCAAAGATTGAGTTAGTGGATTATATTTAACAGTCCCTTTAACCTTAAATTAACAGGGTAAGATTATTAAACAGCTGGTACGTCTAAAAATGTATAGAAATTATTATACAAGGTATGCAAATACTGCTATCTGTATTTTACTGTTTTAAATTTGTTTTTAATTTAGTTTTACGGAAAATTTATTTTTTATGTTTATTAGTGTTACAATGAAGTACTACTTGGTTATGTTCAAATTATTTTTTTATTTGAAGTTTTAATCAATGTTTTTTACCTTTGTCGAGTAGCCATTCATCAACTACTCGACCAAGTCGATATGGAATTCGCTGTCTAGCAATCGCCAGGCGCTCGTTATCATTGTTTCCTTTAAAGTTTAAAGAGACATTTCATTGGTTAAAATCTGTAAGGTCAAAGGTTAAAAGTTAATACTTAAAGCTTGAGCTATACAGTTGCCACATGATTTTTTGAAATTTGGAATTTTAAAAAGTGCTACCTAGAACATTTCATGTTTCAGACTTGTCATTCATTCATTTATTTTATTTTAGCAAACAAAATTATTCCTATGTTAATTGAAAATTAGAAATCTGCATTTGAGCTAGGTTATTAAACTTATGTTATAGACAGACCCGAACAACCAATTTAAACAGCATATAATAGCTTTACAAAAAATGACCATTGATCTCAGGGTTTTGTCTTTTTGATGTTTCTTATTAACTAGTTAAACATGTTCAGGTGAAACAGGTTTAAGTTTTCAAAATACATTCAACCTCTTATTCCAGATTAGTAATTTATGAACACCAAACTTAATCACAACTTTGGCACACTGAAGCCTCTGAAATAGGCCTACCATACTTTATGTCCTAGTCAGAAAATAGAAATTCATATTCATCTCATTTAACGAAACCACAGAGACTGGATAGTGATTGTATATTCCATACAAATTAGTTTATCAATTACTTGGACATCACAAGAGAATATATCTTGCATCATCCAAATACGTTATTATAGGAAAAGGCTTTGACAAAAGTGACTTTGAGTGCCCTTCAGTTTCATTTAAAGCTTAACATGTTGAAATGTATAGCAATTTGAGAAAAAATAATATGTAGGTTTTATATCCTCAAATGTTTGCTTTTACATTAAGCTAATCTAAAAAAGGCATGAGAGCTTAAGGAACAAATACTGCTATAAGCCTCAAACAGTGGTCCCTATGCATAGATCTAAACTACGTGTGATCCTTGCTTGTCTGAACCAAATTTTTTTCTGACAGAAACACAGTTTAAATTGACCTTGAATAATTCTTGCAAATAGGTAAGTGTTTTCTCGCTCTGTAAAGCACTTAGAATCTAAGCTGCCACCTCAGTGCTTGGTCATGTATACTGAAAGTTTTTTTATTCCATAAAAATGAACTAACATGAAATTTTAAGCTAAGACATTTTGGCAATAACTCAGATAAGGACTAGGAGGTAAAAGAAACAAGGGGTAGTGATGTCCACAGAAAAGACTGGAGCAGTTTGCTAAGGAACAAAATAGGTATAAATTTTACTCATATTTAGAATAATTTAGAAGTGCTTTCATGTACCACTCTTATTAAACACTATACTTATCACAATAAACCCACCACTATTTTGGTCACAAATTTTAGAGGAATAGAAAAGTACTATCATTTATTATTACTGAAACTATTTCACACATTAATATTTAATTTAAAATGTAAATATCAAAGTGAAACAAAATATAAAATTTAATAAAAACATTTATATATACTTCTCTGTATTATGTAATCATTAAAATGTTATAAAATAATATTTTATCTTATTGGAACATATTTTTGGTGTATTGATAATGAAAAAAATGATACAAATAACTTAAATTCCAAGCCTATTTTCATTTTTAAAAAGTATGCAAAAAAATTACGTTCTTTTTTGTGCATTTGCAAACACATATATTTGAAAAAGGTGTATTAAAATTTAATATTGGTTAACTTGGGGACATGTGATTATTGATGAATATGTGTTTTTGACTTCTATACGTTTGATGTAATAAACATGTCATGTGCAGTATTTGATAAGCAAACATGAAATGTTCTTCAAAAACTCATATTCTTTGCTAAATAGACTTTTCTGTTGCTCAACACTCATTTCAATTCACAGTGTTAAAACTTGCCTGGTGACTTTATAATTACTTGGCTCCTCATGATATTTTTCATGCCAGAGTGTTCCCATCATCAGGAATGATCCATTACTCCCTCAGACACCACCCAAATCTAGAATGCCAATCGTCTCTTGCCCAATTATTATTTCAATATATTGACAAAGCTTTCTGCATCCTCTGGACAATAAATTCCAGCCAGGCTCCACATGCCAGCCAATATCTAATCCAGCAACAAGTCTAACCCTTTCCATTGCCTTCAAGATGAAATCTTAAGTCTCTTAAGAAGATTCAGCAGAATTTTCATGATCTGGAACCTTCCCACCCCATCTCATGGCTGACAGTGCCTTGACTTCCTCTTCTATCCTCACACGATTTCTCTCAATTCTTCTAAAGCTCTCCTTTGTTCTCTGGGTTTCTATACTTGCAGCTTCTTTTATTTGAAATACCCTTCCTCACTTCTACCCTATCCTATCTTGTCTTAGCTAAATCTGGTCTGTTAATGAAATCTTCTTGGCAGAAGCATTATTTCTGCAGGAGGTCTTCCCTGTTGGCCCCACATTAGATTAGGACAACTGAATATATCCTTTCTTAGTGCCCTTCAGAAACAAGCATTGGCTTATAATTGAATATCCAATAAATATTTCCCCCCAACACCCCAAAGTTCCATGAGGTCAGGTATTATGGGCAGTGTTTATTGTTGTTTTCTTAGTGCTTGCACAATACCCATCATATAACATCTTATGAAATATCTGTAGAATGAAGTAGTGAAGGAAATCTTGGTTTTAATTCTGATAGTTTCTTTAGCACCGCTATCTCATCCTCACAGCCTAATAACAATCACTAAAAGAAAAGAAAAAAAAAGGCAAATACTTGTGCCCAGATAATAGATGATATGTAGCTAAGCTTCCCTTTGTACTTTCTAAAAAGAACATCTCATATGTAAATTATAATTTTATTTCCTTAATGATTATCACTGATTTGAACATCATACATATTATTGCTTGCTTAATAACAACTTCCCCAGGCCATAAAATAGGTAATTATAGTTATTATTAGTTAGTAATAGAAGAGGAGAGAAAGGTCTAAATAATACAGGTTAAGAAAATTGAAGGCTGCCAAAACCGGTTTGGCTCAGTGGCTAGAGCGTCGGCCTGCGGACTGAAAGGTCCCAGGTTCGATTCCGGTCAAGGGCATGTACCTGGGTTGCGGGCACATCCCCAGTAGGAGATGTGCAGGAGGCAGCTGATCAATGTTTCTCTCTCATTGATGTTTCTAACTCTCTATCTCTCTCCCTTCCTCTCTGTAAAAAATCAATAAAATATATTTAAAAAGAAAAAAGGAAATTGAAGGCTTAAATTATTCTTTTTGAATGACTTTAAAAAAGAAGACATGTATATATATGTATATATACACACATACAATTAACTCTCATATCTTTGGCACTCACATAACAATATGAAGATATGGCATGATTTAAGTCAACAATAGCTTTTGAAGATATTTGATGAGACTCTGCTAAAACAAGAACATGAAATATGTATTTCTAATAAATAATAAAAAGGTCATTTAACAACAAAAAAGATAAAATAGAGCAGGCATCAGAGACCGGGTAAAGGCATGATAATTTTCAAGAAAGGTAGCCACACAGATAGGGTCCTACCATCCCACAACCCATAAATGTGAAATGCCTTCTAGTTCAGAGATGTTTTTATTAGCTGAAAAATGTGATTTTGAAATCAAAGCACAGA